ATTGTTCCACCAAAAAAACGATCCGTAAGATTATTTTCAATAAATATCTATGAAGTCTTTTTCTCTTTTGTTTTATTTAGATAGAATCTTTGAATCATTTACAAGATTTTCTAAATAAATTTCCTATTCAAGATCATCATCAACAATGTGTACCAATTAAATTACTTTTATGTGCATCAGCAAATAATCATGATGCACACGATACTTTAGTAAATCTTATTCATACATTATCATCAAAATATTTAGTTTTTTCACTTCTAGCAAGACATAAAATGGCTAATGAGTCTTAAAGCCAATCAATATCTTGTTTATTTGGGTCGTGATGAAGAAAATCATGTTACACGTGATGAAGATGATGACGATCATCATCATCATAATCATCGACCACCACGTCCACCATCAATACATTTTTCAACATCATTAAATCATACAGAGCATACAAATTTAACACAACATGTACCAAATTCAACGCCACTTGCTCAATCAACACCACGATCAGTAACACAAATACCATCAACAACAACAACATTAGCATCTGTTCATACAGAACGTTCTCGTCAATCCCAATATCAAACAATTAATAGTACACCAAATCGACCATTTAATTATATTACAAGTATAATTTAAAAAAAGTCTATATTAACGGATAGTGTAAAAGTTGTACATTAAGTTTGTTTTCAATTTTGAGTGATGAGAAGTGCATTTGATCGATCTCTCTTCCATACAGCTTTCAAAATTTTTAGACATGCTATATGTGAGCTTAACCAATGTGACAATGGGCTTTCTAGTGGTATCAAAATATTTGAGTTACGAAATCACAGATTCTATAATAATTTTTCCGTCTACAACGCTCAAATAAAGTATTTTTCATAATGTGTAATGGAAACTGTATTTTTCTATAGGTCTCACTAAACTCTAATTGAATATAAAATATTGAGTTTTACTAACTTTGATTGCTGGAGAAAATCTTATTTTTCGAAATCATTTATTAGTTATGAACACTTTTCGATAGCAAAAATCATTAGAGAAATATTGATTTCGAACTTAACTGACAACTTAGGGCATCGTAAACATGTGAAAATAAAATTTTCTTTGAAAATTTTTCAACCTTCGTTAAATATGTTCAACGAAATATTTATACACTACTTTGTATTCGAAACTTAGCTTAGATTAACTATCAAGTCTCCATAACGAATTGTTGTCACGCTATACTGAAAATAAAATTACTAGAAAACTTTTACACCACCCATTATTATGTTTTTTATTCTTGTCGATGTAATACATATTTTTTTAGATACATCTCAATCAATACTCCCACCACGACCATCATCATCTTCTCGGCTTGTTATGTCTAATCGGTTAGAAGAAACTCCTTCTTGTGTCACTTATGCATTAACACCTAGTACAGGTATATCTCATTTAAATGAAAAAGTACCACCTCGTATTCCACCAAGAATTCAACGTACAACAAAACCTTTACCATCTGTCGAACAAGAAGTACCTACTATATCAACAGAAACGAAATCAAATTCAGTTATTCAAAATCGACGACCACCACCACCACTTCCACCGCCACCATTGCCACCGATTTATAATACAGAATCAAATAAATCAAATAAAACACGCTTATCTCGAAAATCTTCAAGATCAAATTCAATTATTGATGTACAACAACGAGCTTCTTCTGCTCTTGGTTCTCGTGTCTTGCCAACAACAGTATCAAGTACAAAACGTGTAACTTTAAAAGAAGAAAATTTACTTAAACGTTCATCATCTGCTGATCGTGTTGGACGTGAACGTTGGTTACATCATATTACCGATCCATTAACAATTAATAATGGTTTGTTTGATTCTTCATCTATTTCTTTTTACAATTCTCGACAAAAGTTTTTCATCCTTCATACAATGAGCCTTATTTTCTACTCCATATTGCATCTCTGAAATGTGAAAATAATGCGAAAAAAAAGATTTTTTTTTATATACTGAAAAATCACTCTGGAAAATCTTTACTCTATATATATGTGGAAGTTTTTGATAAGAAGAGTAGTGCATTATACATCATTCGACAGTGATTCTAAATAGGAAGTTAGTCTTCAAGAAAAATGACTTTTATTTAGAAAACTTTTAGCTCAGTCCGGGAACGTTCGCACTGATTCGCACTAACGCTATACAGTTTTTACGGCGGCGAAGGGGTAAGCTCTCTGAAAGTTTCATCCAATTTGAAGTTGTAAAAAATTGTTCAAGCTCATTACATTGCACAATTTTTTTTTTGCAAAAAGCACTCAATGTCAACAAAGAATGACTTTTTTTCGAATTTTAAGCGGATCAAAGCGAAAGTTTTTGTTACAAATCAATACAGTGAAAGACGAAGTTTTAGATGGTATATAGTTTTCTCAGGATTGCTTTCTCCTTATTGTTTTTTTATGTTCACAATAAAAAAAAGACTCCTAATCCTTATTAGCATAGCTTTTCGACAAGGTTTTCTCTTTGTCTTCTGACTCATGCTAACAGGGAGAACAAAAAATTTGATGTCATTAAATCTGAATGCGTACAGTACATCAAATATACACATACACCATCTGGATCTTGGCTGTTTGAGAAGAAACTGAGTTATAATGGGTTGAATCTAGTTTTACTGTAAGATTGACAACCTTAAAAGACTGCCTACTAAATCTATGGTCTTTCTTTATCCAAAACATAAATTCATTTGCTCGAATACAGCTATCTCTGAATTCTCAACACTGACAAGATAAACGTCTGTAGACCATTTCTCTCTACTATAATATTTTATTTTGAAACTTCCAGAAAATAATGTCAACATATGGAAATAACTTCTCTAAAAATTTCTGATTAATTTATACAACNCCCTGTAAACGTGTCATAACCTGGCCCTGCCCTGCCCTGCTATTTTCGCAGCCTGCCCTGTCCTGCCCTGTCAGGGCAGGGCAGGGCAGGGCAGGTTACCTGCATCCTGCAGGGTTCTAGTTACAAATCAATACAGTGAAAGACGAAGTTTTAGATGGTATATAGTTTTCTCAGGATTGCTTTCTTCTTATTGTTTTTTTATGTTCACAATAAAAAAAAGACTCCTAATCCTTATTAGCGTAGCTTTTCGACAAGGTTTTCTCTTTGTCTTCTGACTCATGCTAACAGGAAGAACAAAAAATTTGATGTCATTAAATCTGAATGCGTACAGTGCATCAAATATGCACATACACCATCTGGATCTTGGCTGTTTGAGAAGAAACTGAGTTATAATGGTTTGAATCTAGTTTTACTGTAAGATTGACAACCTTAAAAAAGACTGCCTACTAAATCTATGGTCTTTCTTTATCCAAAACATAAATTCATTTGCTCGAATACAGCTATCTCTGAATTCTCAACACTGACAAGATAAACGTCTGTAGACCATTTCTCTCTACTATAATATTTTATTTTGAAACTTCCAGAAAATAATGTCAACATATGGAAATAACTTCTCTAAAAATTTCTGATTAATTTATACAACTATCATTAAGTGATGGATCTTGATAACATAATAGAGGGTCTTTTTTTTTTTACAAATCAAGGCTGTTTACAATAAAATGATTATTGTTTTTAAAGAGATTTACGAGTCTCCATAAAATTTGTATAAGAGATAGTTGAAACATAGTACTTCATAATGGTAGGTTTGTCGACTCGCAACGTCTTCCTATCTGTGTCTGTTCAAACAAGCAGAGTGCAAGTAGTTCCATTGATCTATATTGATGGCGAAATATGAGCACATCAATTTTCAGACCTCTATTTCTTATGGTCACTGAAACTCAAGGAATGAAAGACTTTTCTCCAAGGATGTAAACTATTTCAACTTTTTTTCTTCATATTTTAGCAATTAAACTACGTGCATCATTACCAAATCCATTACAACTTGTTACAAATCATTTTAACGCTATGTCAAAATTATTAAGTGCAACAAAATATGCTATTGAACATCGAGCTGAAGATGGTGTTCAGTTATTTCAAGTAAATCAAAATCCTATTTTCTGTTTGAAAATATGTTTTTTTTTTCTTTAGGGTGATGTTATGGCGACAAGTAAAGGTGGTGTCAAAGTTGTTTTTACTTCAGTTGATCAAGTAACACATAATAGTTTACTCCCATCAACATGTGAAAATTCTGTTTTGGGTTAGTTAGACTGTTCTCAACATATACTCACATTAATTTTGACTGTTTTTTTCCTTTAGGAAGGTGTTAGTCGTCTATAACATATTCATACGACTATATTTAGTAATTGTTTTTTTTTTCTGTACTTTTACTTAATAATTATCTTTTATTCAAGATATTAAGAAAGAGATATTTGACAAAAGAACTATTTTCTTTCTTTGTGTGATTTCAGAGATTATATTGTACGGTTTATATTTTATTTCGCGTTCTTCTTTTGTTTTTCCATTCTTGAATAAACCCATGATGAACTTCTTCGATAAACCTCACAAACAACAATGTGCTAAAAAAATAACCTTCATTAATATATATATATACATACCAAACTTGCTCATTACAACTAGTCGGTCATACCTGAGTGCTTTTACAATTTTTTTTATTTCTGTCATCATAATGATGAAACAGTATCTTCTTTCTTCTCACGCTTTTAAATACGCATGATGTAGTATGACATTGACTGTGACAAAATGAATGAATAATAAAAAGCAACGAGAAAAAAAGAAAACGACTTTATTCAGATAAACAAGAAACATTAATATGCAAGTACAAAAAGAAACAACGAAAATTTCCAAGAAAGAAAATTGTGTAGTGGTATTGAACAAGATTGTGGTGTTAATTTCCGTTGTCATCGTACTGTGCAAAAAACGTGTTTTCGTTCTTCTGAACAAATTCATTTGTTCATGTTGTAGATCAAAGGAGAGAGAAAACGAAGATTTTCCTCGTGGGGTTCGTTGTTCAAGGATACATATATATATATCCGAATAAGAGAAATGTTATATCAAAAATCATACATTGTCAAATGCTAATTTCGTTGCATACGACAGACAATGATATAAAATAATGAAGTAAATAAAAGAATGAAACCGATGTGTAATTGTTCCGCTCCACCACTAATGCGTTCTACTGTTTTGTATGCATCGAGAAATTGTTCTAGAAAAATGATAACAATGATTTATCGGTTCACACATGTTAAAATTCGAATACGTACTGGCATAAGCCGTTAGAGCTACTACACACGAAAATAAGCCCAACGCAGCAATAGCTGACAAACAAAGTAGACAACCGAGAGTACCACCAAGTGCTCCAAGAGCACCACCTAGAACACTAGCGCCGGCGCCAACAGAGCCAACAGAGCCAGCAGAGCCAGCAGAACCAACAGATCCAAATGCACGCTTTTTGCCATAGTAGGGACGTGGTGGTAAAATAGTTCTATAGTTTTTTGAAAAAAGAACCTTGTTGCCAATAGTTATTTACGTGAAGTTATTTACCGAACTCCAAATGATCGAGGACGAGGAAGAAGTCTTCGAGGAGCGGACGACATCTGAATCTATAAGGATTTGAAACAAGACCAAACTCAGTTGGCAAGGATAAATGATGATTGTTTTACCTCTTCATGTTATATAGCTAAGGACTATCCACACGTGTTCATTCATAACTTTTTCTTTATTAGTCAGTTTTTTCCTCTCTTTCTCTCTTTATTTTTCTTTTTTCTTTTCTCTTGTTTTCTCTTCAGTCACCTGTACGGTGGGTTTCTGTCAGCAGAAACAATAACAACTTGTTTCTAGCGTGCTAAATTGCAATACCACCAGACAACAAGCTACTTTTTTTCTTTTCTCTCTCTCAAATCATCATCATCATCATCATCATCATCATCATCAACACATTTCCTGATCAATCATCTCCTCATATTAATCAATAGGTTACACTTTGTTATCATATTGTTCTATTAAAAACCGTGATTTTTGTTTTTTCTTTTTATTTCTTGACTACGTTTTTAAAACATGGAGAAAAAAAATTACGATACACAAGCATCCTGTTTGACATGTACAATTTTTGTTGACGGCCTGATCAAACTACCCACTATTTTTTTTGATAAACGTATACTACACTGTTTCATTACTTTTTCTTCTCGGCTGGTTGTGATATGCATGACTTCACAGACATCATCACTGATTTGCTCCTGAACTACACATACTGTAACATGATGTATGCATCAGCAGTAAAAGAGAGAAAATGGATTGTCTTTTACTTTTTTTATGAATTTTATTCATTAAATAAACTGAAAAAAAAGATATATTCAATGAAAAGTATGCATTGTTCAACAGTCAAGGGAATACTACCATTAGTCAAGAGTTTTGAGCATGATCTCTATGCAGTAGTAATATATTTTCTTTTTCAAATGACATTTGTGATGAAAAGAAGGAAATGTCTTCCGAGGTAAAAGGTGATAAGCAAAAAAACATGATGAATAAGAATAAATTGAACTATCAACAACATATTTTTGTCTTATCAGTCGTTGGCATCAATGCGAGATTGAAAAAAATTATTAGCTTTAGTATGAGTAATCAGTCAGGAGTGTTTCGCTTGATTGATTATATGCCGTCTTTTTTATTTCATTGCACATCTTCCTTTCTCTTCGCTTTCTTTTCTCACATAATATCTATATACGGACAGGTATGGCAAACATTGACAGTATCCTTTTCTTCACAAATTCTAATGATAAACGATATATCATGCATACTCTCTCTATGTACAACCTTCAGGTGCAAACTTCATCTTTTTTGCAAATGCATAGAGAACGCTGTAATTTTTTTTGTGTTAGTTGGCCAACTAATTTTCTTTATTGGTCCAAAACCTTCCTTTTTTTTTCTCTTCTCTCTCTCTCTCTCTCTCCTGCTATTATGATCATCGTGGTGTATGCATGTTGGTATTGTCCAAACATGATCTTGTCAAATGATCTATCTCTTGATTTTTTCTCTTTCTGTTTTTCAACTTTGTAGAAGTTCTTTTGACTAGTTAGGAAAGTTTTAGTTGAAAACATGACATTACAATATATTGCCTAATGTAGATACACAGAGACAGTTGAAGGATGGCCTTGAAAATACGTTTTTGATATTTTTTGACAAAGATCATTATCATATTATTGTCCCTCTCTCTCTCTCTCTTTTTAGTAAGCTCTTGAAATGCCTCATGTTCGAATGCCGATCCGACGTTCGGGATATCGTTATGTATCACGGCCCGGTGTACGATATCCAATGCGGTAAGTGTCCTTGTAAAAATCTCCATCAACAAATTATTCTATTTACAATCATCTATTTATATACAGACCTCCACCACCTAGTCGAGGAGGCCTTCTTGGTTTACTTGGAGGCTTAGCTGGTTTACTATTATGTTTACTATGCTTAGCAACGTTGGGTTTACTTGGTCTTTTTGCAACATTTATTGCAGTGACCGCTTATCTCGGTAAGATTTTTGAATTTATAAATTAGAATAAGATTTTTCATAATTTTTATTTTTTCATTTGTTTTTAGGACAACTTTATAAAGCATTGAAAGATATTGGTAATGATGCCCCTAGCCTTGGCATAAACATGATCATCTTACTGGCGGTTTTATGTTTTGCCGGTTTTTATAAGCTACGACGATCATTATAAACAATATTCCACGTATATTTTTAATGTTAATTCCGAGTCGTCGATTTACCGTCGCTGTTATTTGTCTTTTTGATTATTTTTATTTAATCAAACTCTACGGGCCTTTTCTTTCGCCTAAGCTTTTTTCTCTAAAACACCAAGATTTCTTGTCTTTTTATTTAATTTCTTTTGCCTAACTTTTTACCACACACCTACACATCTTCTTCTTATTTAATGAACAAAAGATTTTCAAATAAGTGCCGATCCGAAGACAATCAATATATCTGTAACAATATGAAACAATTATTCCCTCGAAGCCATCATCGTCATCATCATCAACAATAACAACATCATCTTCAAATAATCCTATTTTTAATAACACTGATATTACTTTGTATTCGCTAAACATAAACAACAATTGAAATGGCCAACGGTTTGTTTTTTTTCGTGTAATGCGGATATATTATTTTTATTTCGATCGAGCACTTCTTTTTTATTTTCTTTGTGTATGAGAAATAAAATACAATGGGTGATTATTAAATGCATAGTGGTTTGTTTTATTGAATGAAAATGAAATAGATAACTTTAAAAGCAGAAATAGAATTTTTGACATAGCTTGAAAATATACAAAAACAAGCAGTTTCGACAGATAAATTTTCTTATTTTGACGAATCAATTTGTGTTTATATACGTTAGTATACTAATAGAATTTTTATGGCTAATTTGTTGAATATGCGGCGTATAGTTTATCAACATTCAATTAGGGTAGGATAGACTTGATGACTATATAAGCAATGAATTCTTGAACATAGCTTGTGAAATTCGAGAATTTTGTTTTACTTGAATAAAATTTGTTTGCTGAAAGAAAATCATTTTGAAAAATTCGACCGATATTCGAAATAAAAATAAACCTTATGGAATAGTTTCCTACTGTGAAATATAGCATGTTAATTAATCAAAAAGAAATAGTTAGTTTTTTAATGATAAATTTTAACGAAATGTAGCCAAAGTTTTTCTAAGTTAACATTATCAGTGAAAAGAACCATTTAAATCTTCCAACTTAACGTTAGTCTTTTTGTCATGATCAACAATCTTTCAAGAAAATTCATAAAAGATTTAGATTTAAAGATAATTATTTATTATTATTTTCTTTTTCCCTGTAGGAGGAACTCAAACAAAGAAAAACTATATCGAAAGTTTTCATAAAGGCATCGATGTTTTCAAAAAATAGAAAATTGCTTGATGAACATTCTGCAAATCTTTCCATGTTGTTCTGAAGATAGCAGTTTCGTTAATACCATTGGTACACTTCAGTTTTAACCAATGGTTCTGTAGGTCAGTCAGGCTCTACAATTAAATGAATCAATAACTTGATTTTTTCTAAATATTATATTTGTTTGTCTCAGTACATAAGTTATGAGAACCACGAATATACTGTTGAAAACAGAAAAATAAATTTTTTGATTACGTAGGTCATTCCGTTAAGAATCTCTCATTAGTCAAAAGGCTTTTTCTATTATTTTGATCGGCCGATATTGTGTTGTTTTTTTTTCGTTCTTTATTCTAACTGTCGAAAAACGATTGATTATCATATAATATTGTCTTGTGTAAAATATTGATATATTATAGGATTATTTTAGACTAACAATATCAATTATTATTTGGGTATGTTCTAGTCTTTATTCTCTGATTGAGTTGTTCCTTTTATAAAAATTTTTATTCGTAGATGATTTATATAACCCATGTCAAAAAAGCACCATCGTAAACGGTCTTATACTACAAGGTGTACGACCATTGTCAATATATATGACGCCATACATTTAAGTACGAATAACGCATACAATGAATGTAAATGACTGGTGTGCACAACTATCGTACACAACCGTATTTGATCATTAATTACTCGTAAATCAAGTTGCACATATCGAGCACATCGATTTTGTGAAATTCGCATCTATTTTCGAAGAACATAGTGAGCATAAGTTTTACTTTGACGTCTTGTGGATCCTTCCCCTCCCTATCATTGACCTTAGCAACCAAAGACAACACAGTCGGACTCTTTTCTCAGAGTTTTTGAGTAACAGAAGAAAAGCACTGAACAGGTTGGCTGAATCTTGAACGGCTGGAATACGTTTGTGACTATTGTAAATAATACAGTCTCTGATTTTTGCACAGATAAAAGCTTACATTTTAGATGTCAAGGATGACGGGTAGTGATGCATTGATTTGCCTTAGTCATGATATGATCAACATAAAACGCCTGATTGATCAAGTTATATACCTCTGGAAAATAATCAATACCAGTGTTTTTGACCTTATTGAGGTAGATAAAAGGAACATTGAGACCTGATGTAAATACAATGGGTATATAAAACAGGTTTATTTGCCACTTAAGTCAATGATCAGGATACTAATCAAGATAAACTATGAAGAACAGAATACGAAAATGCAAAGAAACAAAGCACACAAAAAATTGAACGATAATAAAAAAGAAGAACTTTCTGTTCAAAATTCAGAAATAAATAAGATAGATCGTTTTTCTTGCGATCAATTATCTTTGGAAAACAACTGTGGTTTGCTAGAAATTGTTCACCTTACCTATTTTGTATTAGTATAATAACACATGTGAGTTTTACATTTCATCTCCAAAGTGACTACGATAACAAGCTTTTTCATTTTAAATTCCGTAACAATATAATAATAAGTATCATTTTTAAATAAAAAATTATTTTATTTTTACTTTTATTTAAATCAATTCAAATAACAGATTAAACACTAAGTCATTTTTTTTTCAAAACTAAAAAGAAAAGAAAATTTCGAGTTTACGTCAGGTGGAAGAAAGTATCTTCTTCTTACATAAGTGAGAATAATATGTGAATACAATAGCAGACAAAATCGTATACAATCATGTACGGTCGGTCACTTTGGTCTTATAGACAACGTCTACGACACGAAGAGATACGGTCGTAATTCAAGACTCCAGCAATACGACAAAATACAATTGTATACGGTCGGAATTTATACTCTATAGGACCGTACATGATCGTTTACAACGTCGTATACGACCCCTTTTACGACTGTCGTAATGCTCGTCCTGTTGATGTATTATGACAAATGAAAAAATGATAGCTTTCTTTTATCTTTTACCTTTATGATACAGATGAATATTACTAGTAGTTTTTTTTTTTTGGATGGGTCTTTTTTTGTTTTGCAAAATGATGATCAAAAAATGAGTGTTTTGATTACCAAATTTATTATTAGCTGAAAATAAAAAAATAGAGAAAAGTATTCACGACACTAAACGCGAAAACATGATTCAACTATATATAAGGTGTGGCTCTCCTTATCTCACTGCAGAGAAAGCTCAAAATGCGATCCTCATTCTCACTCTCCGCACCCTCGTCCACACTCACAACAGTACTATCAGCATTACCTAAACATTGTTTCGGTATGTTCCACGCTACTATTGAAGTTTAATATGATTATTTCGAAGTAATGGGCAAATTTTAATCACGTGTGATTAGAAACATTGGACTCGATGTATGAGACTATTTTTTCGCTTTCATCGGTTCATCTCTTGATTAATTTGGTGATCAAAAGACATTTTTCCATTTTTTTTTCTAATTTAGGTCTATTGCCTTGTGATTCTTATCAAAAATATCAATTACTTCATGCAAAAATCGTATTGCAAAGATGTTGATGAACTAGGTTCTTGTTGTACATTTTTTTAATGTAAAGTGCGTAAAAAAGCTTGATAAAACAATATCGAAAATTAATAATAGCATAGATAGATTTCTAAAAGCTACCAGGTAATAATAGATTATGAATCATACGATAAAGTAGCAGACTAGTATCGGCAGTAAACTCATTAGTTATACGATTGACTAACCGACGACTTATGCATGTTTTGAATTCATTCACTTTGAATACTTTCTTCTATCAACTTCTGTCATCTATTGACACATGATTCTATTAGACATGTTTTCATCCAAGATTTCTTTTTTATAATTCACTCAATTGTGTGTGATTCATGATTACACACAGGTTAGTCGAATAGAAGAGGGTAAATGAATTGTCAGGTTTTATTTACTGAGTTGACGAGACAATGATGAACGAATAATTATCAATTTTAATCTTGACAAACTATGATTCATTCTATTCTGTTTGTTAAATATTTTCTCTCAAAATTGATTTCATGTCTCATTTCTTTTATATTAAACATTGAAGACAATTGAAAATCAATTATGCTCGGAGCTAAATATGATTTTAGTCGAGATCGTGAACGACGAGCTGGTGTTGATGATATGGTATATACAAAAAAATACATGCACAAGAAAGTCTTTCGTTTTATTTTTCATTTTAATTTAGGTTTTCATGTCAAAGAATACCGACTCCGAAATAAGCCATAATCTCAAAATTCGTTTTGATGTCAATTATATTTATGTAACTAATTTACTTTAGTACTTTTTTTGTCTTCTTTAAGTTTAAACATTTCTATTTTAAATAGACATATATTGGTTCTGTTCTGATTGCTGTAAATCCATATAAAGATATTGAATCTTGTCGTGATAGTCATATGGAAAAATATCGAGGAGCTGTAAGTTTAATACAATCTATATGAAATATGAATATTCAATATATTCTTAATTAGACTCAAATGGATAATGCGCCACATATATTTGCTATAGCTGAAGATATGTTTAGTAATATGTTAATTGATTCCGAAAAACAATGTGTAATTATTAGTGGTGAATCGGGTGCTGGAAAAACAGTTAGTGCAAAATTTATTATGGCTTATATTGCTGAAGTAAGGTTTAGAAGAAAAAAAACTTAATATATATTTTATTTGTTTTTCTTTCTTCTACTGAAAGGTATCAGGTGGTGGCCCGAATGTAAAACGTATAAAGGATGTTATTTTACAGTCTAATCCATTATTAGAGGTAAAAAATCATATATATATATATATAAGGGACCTGCCATAAACAATGGAATCATTCGTATTTTCCTTTTGTCTTGTTCAC